AAAACTGGAATTTAAAGAAAACAATTTACTCGGCATTTTAATAATTCATTGAATTTCAGATAAAATGGAAAATAAAGAAAATGTTTGAATGGAAAATGAAAAAAAAATTCCGTCGATCAAAAATAATGTGATAATTAAACAAAAAATATGGCTTTAAAATTATGCATAGATTTTTCTTCATTAGGGAGCAAAATTGTTTTAAAAAAATTTTGAATGATATTTTCCAAAATAGTTTGAGAAACATTTAAATCATCACGGCCTCTTGAGCCAAGCTTAAGAATGTTTAGGCAAGTATTACCTAAAACGGAGATATTTAAATCAATAAACAGTGGCGGTCTAGTCTTCTTTGTATAAAGATGAAAATTAATGCTTTAAAATTCTGTTTCAATATAAAATTTAGTCTTCCTAGATTCAGAAATCTCATAAATGAAGGTTTGGAAGGGATTCTGTGCTAACTAACTACTTGGGTTAAGAGAGGAGATTGCGGGGCTCATGATCGCATGGGCTCCCCCTCTCCGATGTTCACATTTCCCGTTTGTAATTGGAATTTATGTTGAACAATTTCTGTAGTAAACGTTAAATTACCACCCCCCCCTCCACTATGGGGGGGGGGCTTTATGTATAACTCTCTTAATCTAAGAAGCATTGGAAGTTTTAAAAAACAAGTAATCAAAATACATTTAGTCTTGAAATGTAAATAAATAGATTTGTAATAAATATCGTAGCAAACCCCATATTTATTAACCTGAACACACCTAGATAAACTTTGTTGTACATTATAACTAAGCTTTCAGATAACTATGTCAAACCTGTATTGCAATTAAACCTAACTACACTTATAAATAACTTTGTGAAACTTTTGATTACGTTTATCAATGTAACCTTCACAATGGAACTCAAAATATATGTTAGTTGGAATAATACTCTGCTTTGATTTGTTTGAGTTATTATATGCCTTGTGTAGCAAAACAAGAGGGAATGAGCTTTGAGATAGATATAGGCTAGGAAATACTTAGTCGTTTCAGGTTTGATATTGACTAAAGTATTATTGAGTGACTTGTAGTTAGTGATTAAGTTGTATCTTGCAAGACAGATACCTTTGAATACTGATAGAGATGTATCCGGTTTGGTATTGACTAAAGTATTATTGAGTGACTTGTAGTTAGTGATTGAGTTGTATCTTGCAAGACAGATACCTGAGAATACTGATAGAGATTTTTCCGGTTTGGTATTGACTAAAGTATTATTTAGCGTTCTGTAGTTCGTGATTGAGTTGTATCTTGCAAGACAGATACCTGAGAATACTGATAGAGATGTATCCGGTTTGGTATTGACTAAAGTATTATTGAGTGACTTGTAGTTAGTGATTGAGTTGTATCTTGCAAGACAGATACCTGAGAATACTGAAACAGTTGTATCCGATTTGGTATTGACTAAATTATTATTTAACCTTTTGTAGTTTGTGATTGAGCTGTATTTTGTAAGACTGTATTCTAGTTCAATATCCTCTTTATACTTTTAAAAACACTGCTTGACAAAAAATTCCTTTTCATTGTAAAAAATGTTGCATTTTTTATAAAAAAGTGCTGCAAGGTTAACATAGGTTCTCAATGGATCATTTCTTCAAAACAATTAAGTTGTGCAAAATCTTGTTTTTCAGGTTTAGAGATACCATGTTTTCTCTTGGCTCTAATGTAAACAGAAAACTGGAAATAGAAAATAGAAAATAAATTGAATGGACCAAATGCATTTTCACTATGCATCAATCTCAAAAAAGGAAACTCTTAATTGTTAACATCAGGGATGGGAGGGGGGGGGGTTGACTTTAAGTTTTTTGTTATTTTATAGAAATTAATCCACTACGAAAAGGAATTGAACATCTCTAAAATAAAAAGAAGTAATGTCTGTACGGGTGTTTTTTGTATGTCCGATAAAAACTTGACCGATTTGCCTCAAATTTTGATTGGGGAATAATTGTTGGAACCACAGGAATGGTCCTACATCGGGTTAATAATACTAAAATAAGATGGTTGTGTGGAGATCCGTAGATATCGTCTTCCAACCCGGAAGCTCAAATAGCCAAACCAAATATATTTGAGATCGTATACTTAAAAACCCATGATATAATATCTTAGATAAAATATATAAATATTTCGTTTATTTTGTCCTTCATTCGTCGCTACAGTTGACTTTTAAAGGAAAAAAAATATTTTCCAGGAAAAACTGGGTTCCCAAGCTATCAAATAATAAAGTTCCTGCACAATAATGCACTGAACACTGTACGCTGTACCCTGTACAGCACATCAGTTTGATACATTACATTTACTCCAGTTTTATTTTTACTCTGTGACTTTACAACCGCTGAGGATTGAAATTAAAAAATAGTGATTAAACAAAGCTGGCCCCCCCCCCCCCCCCCAAGAAAGTTTCGATCTTTTGGTTCACAATCTTTGTTTTTGTTTTAATAAAACTCCATATGCCATTATTAAAATGTGTAAACAGAACCTATCCCTCTCATATTAATTCTGTTGGATGAAATAATCTAGGTTTATAACATCAAGATGCACAGACTTGTGGATTAGAAATTTGAGTTTGTGGCAAAGACTCGCAATTCCTTTTCAAATTTTTTAGATATTACTTTTTTTTTAAAAGAAAAAATGCATGAACGAAATGTTATTTTTGTAGATTGTTTCTCTTAAATATATTTGAATGCATTAACATTTAAGGTTTATAAAACTTCTATGAAAAATGTAAATGTGTAAAAATGTTGCATTTAATATTAAATTCGTTGAATTATGTTTGAAGCCGCAAGCATGCTTTTTTACAGGAAGCAACTGACATGCATAAATTTATCAATTCGCGTGCATAAACATTTCACTTCTTCAACACGGTTTAATCATATTGATTAGATGGTCACTGTGGTTTTATTCACATACTTAATTTAACCATCTAATAAATATTCAAACACGAAACTTCTTTACAAGGTCTTGCAACTTACAACCCCTGTAAGAGACAATATTTATTGTCAAAGTATGTGACTGATGAATATCCTAACTAAAGCTTTTAAGTGACGTTTTCTATTAGATTAATTAAAATTTGCATTTCGAATGAAATAGCATTTTTTAAATTTTCTAAAGTAGGGGAAATTCTTGTGAGATTATTGTGATCCAGCCTACATTTTGTACATACAAATACCAGTAAATGCATTTACGGTACTATTACACTGGACTGGTCGATACCAATAAATGCTTGTAATGTACGATTACAATAGACCAGCTGTATTCTTCTTATTTAGACACAAACAAAGTTTAGGGAAGTTATGAAGTCGCAAAAACTCCGCAAAAAACTTTGTCCTTAGCCTTGAGATTGGAGTGAATATATATAAAAGATAAAAATCAAAGGAAAAAATGTGTATCATAACAAGCTCATAGAACATATAAACTTTTCACCAGATAACACACATCTTAGAGGGTTTAACTTTTTTATTAAAGTGAGACATATATAACTGTGAAAATAAGAAGACGACTTTTAGACTCAATGTGATTATGGTTTTAAATAGTCCAATGAACATAAAACACTGCTACTGTGTAGTGGACACAAACACATTAACTTAACAAGTTGATTAAAAAGCTACTGTTAAACAAAACTCAAACGCAAAGAATAGCAGTGCAGAGGCAGTGCAGTATACTGGACACGTGATACACAGACAGACACACGTGACAATAATACTTCACTGCCATTGGTTGGAGTTCTGTCCACGTGATAGGGACGTAATAATTATATTATCAATTATATCTATTAAAAATGAGAAACTCAAATGATAATAGGAGCAAACCTAAGTTACCTAGGCTCCTCTGAGATCTTGTCGTTTTCAGATTGGTTGCGTATTTGCTGAATATGATCTGTTAAATTTACGATTTTTATACAGAATTTTATATATATAAATTTTCGTATAAATTTGACACGGTTTTATATCAATTTCTCGCGACAGGAACATCAGATAAAACTCTAATGGGTCGCGATCAACTCCTAAAATGCTTAGGTTTCAGCCTGTACCCCCTGTCCTTTACAGTCCCTTTAAATTAAATAAATGTCGTCTGTCTATTCCCATTTTACAAGATTTGTTATTAGATACCAATTAAAGATGAAAGATGATTCTGAAGTTGTCTTTTATATTTAAAGAGAAACACTGTACTTTTCTGTCCTATCTATAAAAAGGTAGATTACAGGTTTAAATTATATCTCCATGACAACCAATTTTAGACAAAGTATCTGAGAAGAAACTTCTAAAGCTAGACATAAACAACATCTGTTTCCAGTCAAAAACAAAACAAAAAAGTTTTTTGTGTTTTCTTAGTTTTGACGGTTTTTAACGTGAGTTTTTTTCTAATTGCCGTGAATTCAAATTGTAACAAGCATCGCTTCAGTTTAGTTACTATTTATTGATTTTCAAAGGAATTGAGTCTTTGCCACGAACTAAAATATTAAAGTTACTTTTTTTGTAATCAGATTGTGTAAAAGAATGCATAGTTCGAAATATCTATAAAGGCTACGATAGAAAATTAGAGTTTGTGGCACAGACTCAATCCCTTTACTTTAATTAAGTTAACGTGCATAATAACAAGAAAGAAATATTACAGAGTATTTAAATATTTTAGGAAACTAATAAAAGTATAAATGGGTAACATTTATGAGAGAATTGAGATCTTTAGGGCATAGGCAACCCGACAATTTCAAGTCGATCCGGTCTTAATAGTTCATACATAATTTTCACATATGTGTAAGTGTGAATATTTGAAGCTATGATTTGTCAAATAACGCCGATTCTAATGATTAAATTTTATCATCTTTTAGTTTCTTTATCTCAGGGAAGAGTTAAGTTTATTTACTTTGAAAACGTCCCAACTCCAATAAATATATGTATAAAACAAATCGTACAAATACAAAAGATTAAAATTAAACTATAGTTTCTATCCACTTAAATAAAATAAAAATATTACCCTTGGATTCATTGTATCGCTTTAGCCAGTTTATATCATCTCAAATACCATTCATTTTACTTCAAAACTCACAGTTTTCTTTTTTCACTTTTGAATTTCTTAAATTAAACAAAATTACTTTACTGCATTCATTTTTTGAGTTTAAACTTGTTAAAGATCCCATAAACTTGTTAATGATCCCATACACTTGCTAATGATCCCATAAACTTGCTAATGATCCCATAAACTTGCTAATGATCCCATAAATCTGTTAATGATCCCATAAATCTGTTAATAATCCCATAAACTTGTTAATGATCCCATAAACTTGTTAATGATCTCATAAACTTGTTAATGGTCCCATAAACTTTTTAATGGTCCCATAAACTTTTTAATGGTCCCATAAACTTGTCAACGGTCCCATAAACTTTTCAATGGTTCCATAAAACTGTTAATGATCTCAAAAAGCTGTGAAAAAGGAAGATGACATTTGACATTTGATGTTTAAAAATTTTACCCAGCAGCTTTAAATTTACATAATAAGTTAATTGGGTCTGTGTGCACTGCACAATTTTTGTCTTCATAAAATCACAATAAGTCTAACAGTCGTCTTCCAATTCCACAGTTTTATTGGGCCCACTGTATATTATAAGAATAGATATGAATTTTTTATGAAACAAGATTCATTCTTGAAATTAAAGACGTAAGTAGCAACTCTATACTGACCGGGTCCAACTAATTTTAACCAATTGTGCGTACGCGTGTATGTTGCCTACGGAATTTTCCCACGCTTGTACGCATCAAACACACTTATACGCTAAATATACTCTTCTCCCCTGACTACAACCCCCCCCCCATCCCCCTTCATATTAATTTAATTATGTCCTTAAACTTTTTCATTGAGAAACTGTGTTCAAGATAGATTATTTTACAAATAATTAATTGATCAAAGGGAAAATATTAATTTCAACACAAAAAGATCAACAAAAGAGAGGGCGACATCATTTAATCCTTTTTATCCACTAAAAAACAGATCCAGAGGAGCCCGCGATTTAAAATATTCGACTCGGGTCGTAATTCCCGAAACCCAGCTTTAAGACCCAATCTTAGACCTAACCTGACGACAATTGTGTCAAGTGATTGACAGCTATACAAGATCTTAAGCTCGACTTATGGAGTAGAATAAGGCTCAATGATGATTCTTATTCTTAACAAAATCCAGAATGTGCCAATTCCTACCATAAAAATCCGCCAAAAACGATATTACACCGGTTTTATGAGCTCAACTCTGTGGAAAATTATCTGCAACTTAAATCCGAAAGCTCAAGCCGTAATAAGGCCCTGACTCAGGGCCCCTGAGTCATATTTTCTTATTTTTTAAATCACCAGCTCAGGTCTCCAAAAAGTGTCAATACTTTAAGCCTGATGTTAACAACTGTGTAGAAAGATTGTTAATCTTATAAACCATTAAAAATATTATAAACCATTATATAAAAGTTTCTATCTTTGTATATACTGTACTTCTTAGATAAATTTTAAAACAATTATTTTCTAATTTCAAGAGAAAATGATTTATCAAAAATAAGACAATCTTCTTGTTAAATTCATGAAAAAAACTGAAATATAACGAAAGCAAAAAAAAGAAATTACAAATTAAATTCTTGAATGTTTTGTGGAAATGTCTTCTTTGTGATGGATTGCAGAGAGTTTTTACTTTTTCCTTGATTTGTAAAGAGTTTTTTTCCCGAAGATTTTATAGAGAGTTTTTTCTTTATTTGTAGAGAGGTTTTCTCCAAAGATTTGTACTGTCCCTTGAATATGAATTGTCTTTTTGTTCTACCCTATACTGATTGACCATTGATAGAGAGTCTTAGAATATATATTCTAAGAGAGTACATGTGATTTTAATGATTAGTGTTGGTTGCTGGAACACAATGTGATATTAATATTAATAACTAGTCAAGGTTAAGATTTTTTCTTTACATATCATAAGTACAGGGGTATACCGCTTATTAAATAGGGGGGCGGGGCGGGGGTGGCATTTTAAATCATTAGGTGGTACGATTTTTATTTCCATTTGCTCTATCGACATTTACGCTATTAACATTTGCTCTATTTACGTCAATTTTCTCTAATTCGGAGTTTGTTGTTTCAGAGATGATGCCGTTTGCTATTGGCAAAAACTAAATTTGAGAAATTTTTTCAACATTGACGTTTTTCAAAAGTGAATAAAATATTTAAGCTAGCCTGAGCTAAAACCGAAATGTAGTCAGTCTGACAGAGGGTTCCGGCTTTCTTTGATTCATATAGTATCATTTTTAATTGCAAATACATTTTTTCTTATAGTCTTTAACAATAAATTATACATTTTTAAAATTGAGATCTGCAAAAAAGAAAACTGAAAATGTGCAAATTCGTTTTAATGCCATCTGTGCACAAGTCTATGCAGAATTTCTTCGCAAAAATTTGTCAAGGCTTTCCAAAGAGCTATGAAAAGGTGAAATCCGATAACCGAAAGTAGGTCTAAATATAAATTTAGTAAGGTAAATGTAAAATAAGGCAGCCAGGCAGTATGCCTGAGGACTCAGGCAGTAGGTATAAAAGCACCGCTTTAAAGGGAAGGTTCGCGAAAAATGAAAGGGGGTATAGACTTACTTCTATCTGTTCTGTCTATAAGGAGAAAATTTTAAAAAACAACTCATTTAGAAAGTTGAAGCATGCCACTGGAATCGTAAAAAAAAAACAATTTAAGTCCAAACTAATCATTCAGATATTACAACCTATAATATTCGATAATTTTTCGACGCATTCGTATATAATTGATATTTTTAAATATTGCCCATTCAAATACTTGTAAAACCCACAGGAGGTCTAAGTTATCATTTCGTTAAACTTGATTTTTATTTTCTAATCGTTTCGTTGACTGCACTGCTCAAAAAATACACATGGAGCACGGGCAGCCGTAGTACATTTGAATTTCCGAGCCGGGTCAACCTTTCTGGTCCCAGTTTGTACTGTACCTAGCTCTATGGACAGGACTAGCCGGTGCAACAGGGTTGACGTGGTCAGACTTCATGCTCCATATAGGTTCAATTTACTTTTACTAAAGGGGCAGAGGTGCGTGGGAGGGTCAGATAGGATTTGTAACAATTTTTACTGTAGCCTGTGTCATAAAAAAACAAAGGTTTAAGAGTACTTAAGGCATCGGTGATATTGCTCTTGAGATTCACGTACATCAACAGACCTTGTACTACTTACTTATTTTTGAAGCTGTAAAACATACTTTTAATTTAAAGTATAACATCCGTAGTGATGTACCTAAACCACTTTTCATTATTCGCGAACTCACCCTTTAAAATTCACCTTCGTTGACAATCATTGTTAACAATTCTTTCACAGTATTTTCCTAAACACTTCTTGTGTTTAATGCCTAAAGCGATAATCAATCAGTATATATATAATTGTATTTTTAGAACAAATCATTAAATATTTTTATTTCAGTGTTTTAATGGTTTATTGTTATTGCGCTCTGTGGTTAAATTATACTTGAAAACAATTTCTTTGTGGATATTGAGATTAATGCTTGAGTATTCTTTTATTTATCTGAAGAATAATTAAATCTTTATTCGATACCTAGTGGTAATCGAACCCTGCAGGAATAGCTGAAAAGAAGAGATTTAGCAATGATCCTCAAATCAAAAATGCCCGCAGTTTATATCGATATCAAGGGTTTGGGATTGTGGCGGTATCTAACACAAAAATTTTCGGCTTTTCGTTTTTTTGGCTTTTCAGAAATACAAACATTGTAAAAATATCAACTATATAACCCTTTGGTATAAACCCTTGTGATGAATCAAGGATATTTAACCCTAATACTCCTCCTCATTACTTTAGATTGCCTAATTTCCATGCTTTTATCCTAGACTAGAAACCTTAATAATAGAATCTTAATTCAGTCACATCACACTCTTTAAAGGGAGAGACCAGCTTTGTAACATATTCAAACCAAGAGTGCAAAATTATTGTGAAAATGTTTAGGATTAATTTGAGACGTTTTTACGGTGTTAAATTTCTATAAATAAGGGCTTAAATTCGTTTCACCAGAAAAGATGGTCCACTTTTATAACTGTTTAATGACCCGGACGAAAGGTCTTCTTTTAAAAAAAATATAGAACTATATATTTTTCCTAACTAACTACCTTCGGCAAGTAGAAAGGTTGGGAGCTGGAGACCTCTGAATTTTGAAATTAAAAAATCGCACATTTTTGTTAGCAAATAAATAGATAGATACAAGGTTATAATTATAACCTTGGATAGATATGAATTTAGATGATAGATTAGATATAGATAAATAGATAGATTGATTGATAAATGGGTAGAAAAATGGAAAATTTGTTGACAGATAGATTGATAGTTTGATAGAAAATTTGGCAGATAGACAGATAGATAGAAAAAAAGATAGAAAGATAGAAAAATAGAAAAATAGAAAGATAGATAGATAGAAAGATTGATAGATAGGTAGATAGATAGATGGATAAATAGATAGATAGAAAGATAGAAAGATAGATAGATAGAATAGATAGATAGATAGATAGATAGATAGATAGATAGATAGAAAGTAACTTTCAGTTCTGTTTGTTTATCTAGTTCTGTTACCTGGTTGCGTTGATTAGTAAACACTAAACAAACTACTCAATCTCTCTCTCTCTCTATATATATATAACTAGAAAGTAATAATCAGAACAGCTTCTCAGTTTTCATATTTATTAATACAAATTGTTTGAGATCTCTCGATCCTCATCAGTCAATAAACATGGGTTAACTGATGTTTTACAACATTTTCCTCTTCGTTCGAGAGGCTGAGGCTTCGAGAAATATATAAATTCTTTGCTTCGCATGGTTTCTTATTATTTCCGGCAAATCAAAACTAGGGAGAGAACAACGTTCAGACTATGTGACTACGGACTTCAGGGTGATGACTACTAGACGGAGAGATTGCTTATAAAGGGATCTGACTACGGACTGCTCCTGAAGTTGCCCAGCTAAGAACAGCTGTATCGACCATCCTGTCTGAAACTGAAATCAATGTAATCGGGATAATCATTGTGATGCATC